TGTTGTAAAATTATTTCAAAATTCGGTGGCTATTAACACATATCGTCTTTTACTGATAATACTTATAGAAGAAATATTTCACTTTCAAAATATTTTTGGAGGTTGAAAGGTGAAAATAAAACTCTTAAAGTGAATTGGAATATTTTAAAACTAGAAAGTACATATGGACCCTTATATGAACTTTATTTTCTGTGTTTACCAGAAAAATGCAGATTATCAGGTTCTTGAATCGGGATGCCTTATTAAATCAAAGATTTGAATTAACTGTTAATTGTAAACATATCATACCTTTGACTCTACAATCTTGCTAGCTTTTGGAGTTTGACATTTGTTCTTCGTATATTTTTCGAAAAACCTTGTTGCACCATAAAAGGTTTATCTTTCTGTCTGTAAGATCAATTTCAACGAAGTATAATTTCTAGATTATTCTTCTATTACTGTCGGGAATATTTAGTGTAAAATTGTAGGCGTTCGCTTGACATTTGTACATTTTACATTGATTGGTTTTCTTAACACACTATATAAGACCCTTTGGTTAACAGTTGCATTCTATCGTGTATGGTGTATATATTTAAATAATTTTGTATGATCTATATGTTTTAATAATTTCGATAGATCTATTTAAACTTTTCATTTATTTTTTATTGAGCCATATTAAAAATATACTCGTGGGTATGTCTTGATTAGCCAACACGTGTTTATTATAATATCTTATAATAAAAATAATAATAATATATTGCTCTACTTTGTATTGAGTACTTTTCTAAAACTAATTATTACGAACAGCGGAATTGTTCTCCATCTGTTATTTCTATCATATATATATATATATATATATATATATATATATGGAAAATTTTAAAACTGGCAAGGACATGCAAATCCTTATATGAAACTTGTTTTCGATGTTTACAGGAAAAATACAGACTATCAGATTCTTGAATATGGATGATTTATTAAATCAAAGATTTGAATTAACGGTTAATTGTAAACATGTCATACCTTTGACTCTACAATCTTGCTAGCTTTTGGAATTTGGCATTTGCTTCTTCTTATATTTTTGAAAAACTTTGTTGCATCGTATAAGGCTTCTCTTTCTGTCAGTAAGATCAATTTGGACAAAGTATAATTTCTAGATTATGCTTCTATTAGTGTCGGTAATATTTAGTATAGAGGTATAGGCGTTGAGCTGATATTTTGACATTTGATTGGTTTTATTATCACCTCATATAAGACCCTTTAGTTAACAGTTGCATTCCACTTTGTATAATATATATATTTAAATAGTTTTGTTTGATTTATATGTTTAAATAATTTTGTTAGATTTATATATTTAAATAATTTTATTTCATCCATGTTTAAATAATTTTGTTAGATCTATAAATATGTTTTATATAATTTCGTTAGATGAAATTGTTTAATTTTTCCATTTATTTCTTAAAGAGCCATATTATTTACCAACTATGAAAATGTGAAAATCTAATTCACAGTGCATGCGGCTTGTAAAGTAAATTGTTAAATTACGTTTCTTCTCTCATAGGAAATGATTTGTGTCGAATGTATAACTTTGTATCGAATATGATATCTCTCCGTTGTCTAGGATTCTAAATCTGCGGGTCATGACCTCTTATTTATGTAACTTCCGTTTTCTCGGCCGAGATAAAACCATTTTGATTGGTGGATCCGAATATAAGCAAAACAAATGCTACTGCTACCACTTCTTTCTTACTCCTTTTCTTTATCCTTCCTTTTCTCGGGAAAAGAGAGTATGTCTTGTCTTTCTATCTTACACGTTTTCTTTTCTTCCTTATTTCGTGAAAAGAGGTTGTATATTGTTTTTAAATCTCATTAACTTGTCTACTAATCAGTTAATTACTAACGCCTGATGAGATGTATTAGTAGACATGGAAACATGATTGCATTCTTGTAGCATTTTTTACATATTTCTGATGTAATATCCTAAAATAAAGAATATTGATCTGCCTTGTATTGAGCCATCTTTTAAATTAAATGTTTGGAACTCTGGAATTGGATTCTATTCGTTCTCATTTCAAATCTATATAAAATTGTTATTAAAAATTATAAAAAAATTCCATCCTCCAAATTCTCCACTGCCTTATCAGGGTATTGAACTCACACTCTTTGGGTCCTATCACTGGATCTAACTAACGTCTTTATCCACTCTGCCATGTGTCCTTGAGGACAATACCCGGCTAAGGCAGTGGAGAACCTTCAGAGGGAAATTAGCAGGAGATAACTGATAAATGATATCCATTAAACATGGCACATGGAACTAGAACAGTCTACCCCAGTGATCGAAATAAAGGGTTCAGTTCGACTTTCCAACCACCTGAAGAAGGCCGGATTGTACAACGGCCGAAACGCTGTAATTCCCTTCTCCACGTTCTTCACTGCCTTAACCGGGTATTGAACTCACACTCTTTGGGTCCTGTCAATAGATTTAACTAACGCCCATATCCACTGTGCCATGTGTATGAATTTCTGAGTATTATAAACCTAATGTCTTCAGAGACCATTTTTACCAGTGCTCATATTGCAATTTTTTGCTGTTATCAAATATGTTTTTACCAGATCTCATATTGTAATTTTTGTTGTTATTATCTCTGGCAATTCAATTGCTGTCATTGAAACTAGAACAGTCTACCCCAGAGAGCGAAATAAAGGGTTCAGTTCGACATTCCAACCATCTGAAGAAGGCCGGAGCGTACAAAAAATCCTTGTAAAATTATAATTATTTATATACTATACTAAATTCAATATATCCAATTTAATTATTCGTAATGTCTCTTCCCCACGAGTTAACGTGTTGCAGAAAACCAACATTAAATAGAAATTCAAATATCACTTGGGAGATTGTATCTCCAACAGAAAAAATAATATATATACGTTGGTCACATTAATACTATATTGTCTAGAAAGTTGAGTTTTAATTTGAATGACGCATCAAACATCTCTCAACATTTACAACATCATACTTACAGACATTCACAATTTATAAAAATCATTGTCGAAAATACATATATCCGTTTTCATAATAATAATAAACATAAACTAAAAGCTCCTGGGTCTCGCTATATTAAAAAAATGAAATCCACCTTTAATAAAATTAATTATGAATACTGCGCAAATGTCTGAAAATATTTATAGTAGAGAGATTAAAATATCCATATTATAACTAATAGCTTTAAACAATTTCATAATAGACATTTCTATAACTTAGTTACTTCCCTTGACGTTACTGTACGTGTATTTTTACATCATATAATTTAAAAATCGTACAGTACATAAGTTTAGCGTTTTTCACAAGTAATAAATATTAATTTTCAGTCTTATCAAAAAGAAAACCCTGAAGATTACATTGTGCTAGTACTCGGAAATAAAATGGATATAAGTCAACGTGGAAATTTTCTTTCTTCCTTTGAAAATAATATAAAAAAACTCGCCCGTACACATAAGAGGATCCTATTAATATATATATATATATATATATATATATATATATATATATATATATATATATATATTATTACCAATTTTAATGGCTAGGGTAATTCCAAGGAGGACATTAATCCAAAGAAAGCTCAAGGTAAGTTACAGAACAATATCTGCCATTGATGTATTGATTCCATTTCTAAAAACTTTCAATCTGAAGAGATGAGTTTAAAAATATTGATGAAATAAATTATTACCGAGATGGATTTTAAGTGTTTTTCTTGAATTATATATATATATATATATATATATATATATATATATATATATATATATATATATATATAAGACTGTGATTACACACAAGGTTTATCTTTTCCATGGTTATATATTTTTTTAATGTCCTCAATACAAATTTTAAATTATCCAAAGTTTAGAGCTAATTAAGATCTTAAATATTACAAACACTAACCTTTGACACAAGCGCAGTTTCTCGCACTGGACGTTTCCTTAGCCATATATATATATATATATATATATATATATATATATATATATATATGTGTGTGTGTGTGTGTCTGTGTCTGTGTGTGTGTGTGTGTGTCTGTGTTTTTGTGTCTGTGTGTGTGTGAAAATTGTGTGTATCTAAACATAAACATATATATATATATATATATATATATATATATATATATATATATATAATCTTAAGGTGTGCTATATTTATGGAATAAAGTGCTCAATATCAAAGATAGAGCGTGTGTAAATATAAAAGTGAACATAGAAGTCAACATTTAGAGGCGACAGTCTGTTTCATGCCGATTGCATATAGCATGAAACTTCTGTCGCCTCTAAGTGCTGACTTATGTTCACTTTTATATTTATATATATATGTATATATATATATATAAATATATATATTATATATATTATTATTTATATATTATAAACCTTTATTGTTTTTAATTGCTTGCATAACGAGGTGTTTGGTTAAAAACCGGACACAGAAATGAATTTTGTCCGCATATAGATATCCCACATATTTATCAAGTAGATTTCTGTTCTTTTCTATGTGAGAATTCAAATTTACAAAATCTTTTACAAGCGTATTGTAACAAAATTATTCTGCAGTCTGTAATGAAGTCTGGAATTCTTGGTTTCTGTTTGGAATTTATTCCTTTTCGAACAAATATTTTATATATATATATATATATATATATATATATATATATATATATATATATATATATATATATATGTACGTCTATCTATATTATTGCTAGTTGACGTATTTATTTTCTGGTTAAGGTTGTAGTCCATGATCATCGAACCACAACGAGGACTACATCGTACATTATTTCTCCATAAGAGACATTAAATAACGCCTGACCGACATATATCAGAGGCATCAAAGAAGTTTCATTTGTGTTAGGGTGTATGTTTGTCCCTCAGTTTTTGTACTTATATGTGTATGTGTGTGTGCTTGTGCGTTTATGTATGTTCATGACTGTATTTACGCGTGTGTGCACGTACATTATTTTGCTTGATTACCAAACACTTGATGTCCAAATGTTAAGAATGTACACATTCTGTCCAAAGATAACTGATCCCAAATGCGATTTATTAAATAAAACAAAAGGAGGAGTTCTGACACGTATGAATAATAATAATAATATATATATATATATATATATAGATAGATAGATAGATAGATAGATAGATAGATAGATAGATAGGACCTGTTACAAGTCTATGGGACTACACAATACACACTGACAGAACAATCAAAGCCAACCGCCCAGACATTGTTATTAGAGACCACAAACAAAAAATACTTCCTTATTGATATGGAGGCTGCAATGTATCTTTGAAGTTATTCAAAAAGCTGTCAAAATACATGGATCTAGAAAATCTCAAAATGTGACACATGGGAACATCAATAGTCCCTGTTGTAGTTGGAGCCCTAGGATTGGTTGGAAAAGATTCCAGTAGACTAATTGAAAGGATTCCTGGAAGCTCATGCCTCAAAAAATTGTTCTCGCAAGTACAGCCTACACTTTACGAAGGGCTTTATCTATGTTTGTTTTTTTGTTTTTTTTTTTTGTCAGTGGACAGTGTCATGATGCCATTTCTAACCTTAGGTCACTTTACGAAGAACTTTATCTATGTAAAGTATATATGTTATTTTTTAATTACACAGTGAAAATTGTTATGATGTCATTTCTGACTTTAGGACCCTGGTCAGAACCTGGAAAGAAATGAGTACATAACAGAAATCAAAGGAAATAAAATGATGATGATGATAATAATAAAAACAACTCCAAATACACGTGAAAATTTTAGTGTTTTCCGAATTATTGTCTAATAATTCTAAAATTCTTAAGTGAATGGTTGCAAAAGCTCCTATAAAATATAAAATCCTCATGGGAATTCACTTATTATATCGTTAAATATATTTCAGCTTAATAAATTTTATAAAATATTGCAATAATAGTCATCTAAATAAATGTGTATAAATGACAAAAAAAAGAAAAGAAAATTAAATTTATGTTTTTTCCCTTTTATTCAAGGAGACGTTAAACACATGAATTTTGTGGTTTCCCTTGATTTTTTTTGATTTTTTCCCCTTCTTTCTTTCACTGAAAACAAATAACCTCTTGCATATGTCTTTTCTGCCTTTCCTTGCGATTAAAAAGAAATAATCCATTATTAAAACGGAATAATCCATTATTTATGATATTGAGAGAGTGTAACGTTCTTCTTAAGAAACGGTATTTAGTCACCCCCCCACGAGGGCATCATGTGGCACAAGGCCGGCTTAACGTGGGATCTCCGAGGCCGTGGGGTCAGCCAAAAATATGCCCTTTGAACCCGTATAAACGGGTTCAGTGTCGGTTTACCTCCCCGAAAGAGACTCCGCCCTTCATCGTAGCCTCGTTCGGGTTCCTCCCCACCCGCAGGGAGAGACTTCAACCGATCAGCCGGTCAGCCGGTCGCCCGACTTCAGACTGAACTTCTTCTTAAGGAACAAATACAATTATATGATGGTGATAATCACTAGAAATATCCGTGAAAATTTCACGTTTTACCTATTTGAATTTTCTGATGATTAATGATTATGTTCACGACGATTTCTCCACTGCCTTAAACTCAGACACTTTGGGCTCTGTCACTGGATCTAACAAACGCCTTTATCCACTGAGCCATGTGTCCTCAATAATAATATAATTGAATGTAATAAATATGACGACAAAGATGAGGAAAATAGTCTGAATGATTTCAATAGTGTACATAATACCTCATCTCAGAAATATAGACAGATATTGAAAGGCCGGAACGTTGTAATAAATATGGTGACAAAGATGAGGACAATAGTCCGAATAATGTAAATAGTGTACATAATACCTCAACTCAGAAAAATAGACAGATACTCAAAGACCGGAACGTTGTAATAAATATGGCGACAAAGATGAGGACAATAGTCCGAATAATGTAAATAGTGTACATAATACCTCATCTCAGAAATATAGACAGATATTGAAAGGCCGGAACGTTGCAATAAATATGGTGACAATGATGAGCGCAATAGTACGAATAATGTAAATAGTGTACATAATATCTCATCTCAGAAATATAGACAGATACTGAAAGGCCGAAACGTTGTAATAAATATGGCGACAAAGATGAGGACAATAATCCGAATAATGTAAATAGTGTACATAATACCTCATCTCAGATATATAGACAGATACTGAAAGGTCGAAACGTTGTAATAAATATGCCGACAAAGATGAGGACAATAGTCCAAATAATGTAAATAGTGTACATAATACAGGAACTTTTTACTAAGTATTACATTAAAAAACATGAGCATTGATGCAGGTCATTATTCAAAGAAATAAGCGAGTAAAAATAAAAAAATTGACGAGTTTTTTCCACTTAACTGAATATTTTTTTGTTTCTTCTTTCCTCCCTTAGTCTTTCTTTCTATCTTTTTCTCTGAAGCCGAAAAAATTTACTCCATCCAAAAGAGCATATACCATTTAATGGAGTCGGATAAATTCAGATTATATTAGGGGTGATTGAAAACGAAATCCATAGAGTAGGCGCGTGTGAAATATCTTCGTAAGCGGACTACAAGCAGCACCACAATAACGTGTCTCTAAATTGTCACTTGTGGCTCCACAGGAAATATAACTTGAAAATATATAACTTGATAATTCCTGAACGAGAACGATATAGCTACAAACCGGAGACAATTTTGCAGAATAAACACGCAAAGCTCTTATGCGACTATCAAATCTCAACCGACAGCCATCTTGAACATACGAAAACTGACATTATTATAGCTGATAAAATCAGCAGAAAATCTGGTTTAGGGATCAAAAAGAGGCTCAGAAACTTTGCAGACATAGAGATCCCCGCAGTAACGTAGAATATTTGTGGGTTATGGCTTCTGCCGTATTACCCATTATTATTGGCGCACTAAATTCCATTTCTAGGAGTTTAAATTATAACCTGGAAATGCTTGTAATTGAACCCTTTACTGAAACTCTCTAAAAATAAGCATTAACAAGAACTGCCAATATCTTGCGAATGCTGCTCTCTGTCTGAGGTTCAAGCAACTTGTTGGAGAGCGCCAATAATACAATATCTCCAATATATGGATATAATACACTGCAATAACAAAGTTATATATGACTTTACACTACTGGCATAACAAAAATTAGGCAGTATAAGTATATGTTGGAAAAGATTATATAAAAATGTTGATAGACATATAAAACTTAATAGACGAAACACAAACGAACCTAATAGACTCGACTGCAGACAAACATATGGATAGAACAATATCATAGGAAAATAAGTCTGTTAAAGAATTTTGTAAGATGAGAAAATGTAAGCGACTTGAAACTGAATTTGAAAAAAGTGCTGTTATGTCGACCTCACAATAAAGACTTCCTCTTCTCATCCATTAGAAATCGTCTTCCAAACTCTGAATCCACTGAATGCATTGCTCCAATGGAGGTACGTTTTCGGTTCACAAAAGCTTACGCGTTAGGCGAGGATCTCAAAACGGATTTATTTCAAGCCTTATCATGTACGACAAGGAGGAAATGAATGCTCCGGGCTATTTAATAATTCACTCTCATACGCCTTGTGCATTTAAAAGAACAGATGTGAAAAGATAAGTACAGATATTATTTAGGCCTCCTACGTCGCATAGAAAATGACAAAGATCCTTTTTTTTCTCATTTAAGGTCAATGTACTGATGATGAGAAGTGATATGCCGATGGCATAGGTTAAACCAGAAAATCATGAAGTGGTCTAAGAGATAGTACTCAAAAGAAAACTATTAAATCCATTCGGAATGAATGCATTGATCGCACATACCCTGAATCGAAATAAAAACTTCAGAATGTAGTAAATACTAAACATTTCAAACAAACACCATGAAGTCTAGATCAGTTATAACATAGGTACTATACGTTATATGTACATTGAGTATAGGCTCGGCTCATTAAACCAACATCAGTCATCACTTTACATAACCTAGTCAAATCGATACTACCATATAGATGGCATACATGGTGGCAAATTCAGAAATATGTAAAATGTCAGCTATATACTATTTTCTCTGATATATGGTTAAAATTGTTTTGGGCGAGTAAAGCTTATGGGTATTGGTGAATACGACACTCCTTCCAATATTTTGGACTTGTGCTACAGAATCCCAAGCAAAGAACAGTGCTAGATAATATAAACCTCACTACGTAAGGGACTATAATCAGCAGCAACAACTGAAATGGCTGTCACATGTAACACGAAAATAAAAATAAGATGTTATTCTTAATTATGTTCTTATTTTTATTTTCAAGTGTTAAATAAAATCTTACGAAGAAATCCCCCATAAATATTTGAAAGAGTGACAAGCGCTTCAAAACCTTATTTTCCTTAAAAAATATTTTTAAATTTCAGCCTACGGTAGTATTCCATCAGTAAATCCCAAATGTTCCTTCATGAGGAAATGGCTAAGAAGGTTGAAAAAAAATCAATTTAGGAAAGGAAATTAAAGAAGGCCATAGCATCATATGTGTGGAACTCCTCATCTACTTAGATGTATATTATCAATATAGAAATTATAAAAAGATATATCTCCCCCAGCAATGGGTTAAATAGCAGAGTATATTGACTCTCTAGTTTTGGATGGCAGCCAGTCTAATATAAATATAAGGCTGAATTCAAAATCATGTAGAAGGTAACGGGTGATCATTCCACTATCTCTCCGAATTATCATTCATTTTGCCTCTTAAATCTTCGGGGAACATAGGGCCGCAATATCACCTCTCCTTTTCAGCTCAGCCCATGTCATACCGGCTGCCTTCCCGGGGGATTTTCACACAGCAGGCTTCATACGCTCCAATTTGAAGAACTCTTCCTCGGCCATGTCGTTGTTTGAAGATATCGTTGAGGTTTCTCTAACAAGATAGTTTTTTTTTAAGTGTGTAGGTTGTTAGCCAACTGCACAATCCCCAAACAGGAGGACCAAGAGTCGAGGTTTTAAGGAAAATAAAAACAAAAAATGATATTTATACTTAACATCAGACAGAGACATTTAAAAGTTCTATGGCAGATAATGTCGAAAGAGAGCCTAGAAATGTTAACATTGAAAAGACATTGTATTCAACCAGAGGATCAGACGAAAACAGCGCATATTCTATTTGACGAACTTGGGTA